TGCCGTTCCCTGCGTACGGTCTTCGTTAGCTGCACAAATGGCAAGCGTCATACAGGTCGTGATGCATATAGGATATGCAATCTTGGTCGTGGGGGAGTCTATCAGTGTGCGTTGTTGAGCGCTCTGAGCCTCTTGGCGTTGCCTCGCCCGCTTGCCTCCGATGACTCACTACGGTACCCCATTCAATGCAACTGCCGTCCCGCGTCATTGCCTTGAGCGTGTCATTCTCTCGATTTGCAGTCTCACTTGCGCAGCCTCTGCCACAGACTGCATTGACTAAAGCCAATGCACAAATACGACTAACTATACTATGGTAATTTGGCGGGACATCAAAAAGCATCAGTGGTTTAGTGGCATAATTACCGCTTGCCATGCGGTAGACCCGAGTTCAATTCTCGGCTGATGCACTTGTTTTGATCATTTTCCCATCCCGCGTGTCGAGGTATTTAGCTTTTGCTAATTCCAGTGTGCCAGCCATGCAGCTGCGTTCGTTAGCTAGAGCCGGGTGCAGAATGTGGTCTCTTTTATTGTGTGTGTGTGTGTCATGTGTGGTGTGTGTGTGTAGCTGATATGGGATCTTTCTTAATAAGGCTGAATGGGTGATGATGCAATTGAGTGGCCAAGTCTCACGGCGACCGGAGAGACCGAGCAGCAAACAAGCCGTTTAGCATTTCCCTCATCTCCCCACACATCTACTACTTTTCAAGCTTGACCATCCACCGGCCCTCTCTCCAGCGCCCCATCGTTACTGACTAGCGAGGTAAGGCCTTTGACCAACGCTTGTCCCGGCGGTTTGTGGAAACGACAATCCGCTCACGATTGCAAGTGTCATTTTCTTTTCCGCAGCTCCCACCAGACTCTCTCCGTTTGTCGTTTCCTACTCTTCTCCGCCTGCTACTTTTTCCACCGACTCCTGCCTTTAGCACCGTCCGCCACACCGCCCGCCCTCTCTAATGTCTGCACCATCTCAAACAGCCGCCACAGCGGGCGCCGCCAGCACACCCACTCCGTCCGCCACCACCACTACTACCACCACCGACGCCTCTTCCGCCGCAGCCGCACTCAAACCCATCCAGGTCAAACTCGTCCTGCTCGGCGAAGCCGCAGTCGGCAAATCCTCGCTGGTGTTGCGTTTCGTCAACAATGAGTTTCAGGAAAACAAGGAACCTACGATTGGCGCAGCGTTCCTGACCCAAAAATGCAAGCTGGATGATAAGATTATAAAGTTTGAGATTTGGGACACGGCGGGCCAGGAACGGTTCCATTCGCTTGCGCCGATGTATTATAGGAATGCGCAGGCTGCCGTTGTTGTTTATGATATCACCAAGCCTGTAAGTGGGGGCCGAGAGAGGCTGCATCGGGCAGTTGCGCGCGCGCTCGCAATCAGAGCAGAACACTCTTGCTTTGTTTCTGCCCCACTCTTCTCGATTGTTTGGTCGCTCTCTTTTAATTATTGTTCATTTTCTTTGTTTTTTTTTTCTTTTATGCAGGCCTCGTTGGACAAGGCAAAGTCGTGGGTTAAAGAACTCCAGCGTCAAGCCAACCCAAACATCGTCATCGCACTCGTCGGTAACAAGCTCGATCTCGCTGCAACGTCGCGCGCGGTACCCGCAGAGGAAGCCAGCGCGTACGCCACGGAAGCGGGACTGCTGTTTGCCGAGGCGTCGGCCAAGACGGGCGATAATGTTATGGATGTCTTTACAGAGATTGGTTAGTTGGCGCGCGCCCGAGAGAGATACTTGCCGCAAATATTTAGAGGATTTTTTTCTGGTTGCCGTATCATTAGCGTTGTTTTTGCTAACTGCTTTTTCATTTATTTATTTTTCACAGCCAAGAAGATTCCATTGGAGCAGCTTCTTGCGTCGCGGGGCCGGGCGGGGGCGTCTGGCGCCAGTGGAGCGGGCGCCGCCGGCCGTGTCGATCTCAACGCTGGGCCCGGCGGCCGCAACGCACCGCAAGGCCAGTGCGGATGCTAACCGAGGACAAAAAAAAATCGCGTTATTCCTGCTTGCGTCCTTCGGTGTGAAGGGAGAAAAGCCCGGAGATTGGGTTGGAAAAACAAAACCCCCCTTCCCTTGCCCCCGCAGCAAAATCGAAAAAAAAAACAGCGTACTATCGAAAAATCAATGTGTCTGGCTTTCCACACCTCGCCCCCTTATTTTCTGTTTTTCCTGTTACGGTGCGGGGGGCCTCGCGGTGGGGGGAGGTGGCCGAGCGCTTCGAACGGACGGGGGGCCTTTATATCTGCGCCCTTTGTTTCCCCCTCCCTTACTCTTTCTCTTTTTCTATTTCCTTTTCCCCACGACTCCCCCCGCGTTACCCCCCCCCTCCTTTTCTTCTCTTCTTGTTATGTTTGGTTTTTTTGCGAGAGAAATGTACAGTCCTTTATGCCCCTATACTATTCCGCCTAAGCTGAAGGGAGGGGGGAACAAGATTTGCATGTTGGATTAATGTGTCATCGCCTGTCATCCATCCATCCGCCCTATATCCCAAGCTGTCCAAATCGTTTTTCGGTTACCTAGAGTCGAAGCCATTTATATTTGTGCGTGAGAGAAAACCATATATCTACATAATGCTATCGAGACAGAAGAGTGGGGGACGTTGTGGGAAAGAAAGAAAGGGATGGACGGGAAGGGGAGGGGAGGTGTGGTGTGGTGTGGTGTGTGATTACAGAAAAGCGCCCGTGTGCAGGCCAAAAAAGAGTGTGTGTGCGTCCATCCCGAGATCCCCCCAAAAAAGAAAAACACCAGGAACGGCTTTTGTGTTTTGGGGTTTTTTTCTTCAAACATACGCCTGGTAGAAATCCTCCGCGAAATCAAAGTCGCCACCACCAGTCTCTTCATCGCTCGCTACGACGGCGGCGGGGGCGCGACGGTAAGGCCGCGGCGACATGATGTTGAGTTTGCTCTCCATGTCCACTGCCATGCCATCGACGACGCTCGCATTATTCGGCTTTGTCGTCGGGATAGACGAGAATCCCGAATCTTTGCGCGGCCGCTGTTCCATCGCTTCATGCGCGTTCCGCGGCGCGAGGAACTCACACACGGCCGCGCAGTCGCCTACACTCGCGGGTGTGCCGTGGCGGAGGTGCCGGACGTAAGAGTCTAGTCTGCGGCGGAGTTGTTCCGCCAGGGAAGGCGTGAGAGAGGATGATGGTGGTGGTGGGGGCAGGGCGGGAAGAGCGCCGCGGTCGTCGTCGTCGTTGGCACCACTGTTGGTGGCGGCGAATGTTTGGAGGAGCGAGGTTGCGAGCAGCGTGAAATCGTCGTAGGTGCGGTTGACGATTGTTGTGGGTGCGTTGCAGCGGGTTACGCGGATGGCGAAACTGGTTGTGGTGGAGGAGGAAGGGGGAGCAGCGACGGCAATAACCTCGATGTCGGTAACGCGCGCGGCGGGGTCTACAGAGTGTTGTTGAGCAGCTGGCGTTGCCATCAGCATGCTGGTTGGCGATCGACGCAGATTGTTGTTGCTGCTGCTGCTGTTGTTCGCAGCAGCTTGCGCTGGCATACTACGAGGCTGCGGCTGCGCCGGCGTGACATTACGCGGAATTGTGCCCGCGCGACGACGCTCCTGGTGCTCTTCCTCTCCCGGCCGCAGTTCCGGCGGCGCCAGCAACGCGCCCTCTGAATGCCGCCGCACATTCGAATGAAGGTATGAATAGAGTCGCTTGGTGATGTTTTCCTTTGGCCTCGACGCTCCTGCAGCTGCTGCCGTGGACGTGGATGCCGCGGGAAGTGGCTCGGCAGCTGGCGCTACTACTGCTGCCTGTGGTTGCGAAGCTGCAGCAGCTGCAGCCGCAGCTTTGGCCCGCGCTTGCGCAGCCGAAGAACCGGGATCCTTGCTCAACAAATCCACCAGCTCGAAATGCGACATGGGAACTAGCCCCGACACCGCGGTGCGAGCAAACGGCGTTGCGTACTGCGTGCTGACAAAGTACAGTCCTTTGCGCTTGTCGGTTGAGAGCACGTAGAATGCCTGTGACTGGCGGAACGAGAGAAGCGTAGAGCCGCTGCCGTCGGTGGCCCTGGGCGCGAGAAAGTCGGCAATTGCGCGGATCTTAAAGATGGACGATGCAGTCGCCATTGTGGTGGAGCGGAGTGTGTGAGAGAGAGAGAGAGAGAGCGAGAGAGAATGATGGTAGGAGGAAATGAAGCGATAACTTGAGGGGTTCGGAGGAGGAGGAGAGAGCTGAAGTGGCAGTTGAAGAAGCTCTTTTCTTTTTGCTGTCTGTGGTCTGGTCTGTCTCGTTTAGATGCTCGTTTGCCTTGTCTAGTGTATGAAAGTGTAAAGTTCTGTTTCTCTCTCCAAGACGGGCGGTGTCGGGGGAAATGGACGAGACAATGATAGATAATAAGATCCCTCCGTGCCGAGCCGTGCCAGCCAGCCAGCCAGCGGGTGCGGCGGAGAGTTGAGTGAGTGAGTGAGGTGAAGTGAGGCGAGGCGGAGACCTCTCTCTCTGCCTCTCTCCGTCCGTCTGTCTGCCCTGTCTGCCTGTCTGACTGACTGTCTGTGTCTGTGTCTGTGCCCACGACGACGTTTCCTCTTTTTTTTTCTCGTGGAGGTGCATCGCCCAGCCGACAAGACGAGACGAGACGCAAAGAAAAGAATGAACGGGAACTCGCAAGTGCATCATCCATCCCGTCCGTCACTCCTCAATCTCCCCCCGCGCGCGCGTGCTCTAGTGCATTGATGATTGGGCGGGGGCCGCTGGCTGTGCACATACTGTGTGAGTGAGAGTGCCCCCAATAAGTGACAAGGGTCGGGACCTTGCAGAAGAAGGAAAAGAGGAAACTGAATCAGCGTCTGGTAGTAAAATGGGCAAATTGCCGCAGTGTTTTGTTTCATCCAACACTCGGCCGCACGCTCCCGCCGCACTCTGAAACACGCACAGCACAGCCCCGCAAACCACGACCCAACCAACCCACGACATCTTTGTCCATCGTGCACAAAACTCCGCTCGCGTGGCGCAGCCCCAGAGCCCGCAAAAACATAAAAATATGTGCATCAGCCGAGAATTGAACTCGGGTCTACCGCATGGCAAGCGGTAATTATGCCACTAAACCACTGATGCTTTTGATACACTGGCACATATACCTTTTATTAATTCGCTTTACAATCTTCGGCCAGTACGCACAGTGCCGGTTCTTTGTTGCCGCCGCTGTGCTTGACGCGCCGAATCTGAATATGGCCCGAGTTCAAAAGGCGGGTCTTTTCGGTCGTGTCGAGGGAGATGCGCTTCGCAAGGAACGACTGACGCGTTTCCGGAATTAGCGGCCGCTCTGACAGGTGTCGTTCGCGCTGTTTGGTTATTGACCCTAGGGAAAGACTGGCGGACGTACGCTGCGCAAAAAACGAGCTGCAAGCGCTTAAGTGTACATCAAAACCCCTCCCCCCACTGAACGCCTTCTTTCTCTTCCTCCGACACATCGGCTGTAGCATATCAAATGTCGCTCCAAATCACTCAAGCAGCAACGGCTGCATCACACGATGCTCCCGAAGAGTACTTGACAGGATCTGTCAAGGTTCTGACACAACCGGCGAAAAATCAAAGATACACTTATTTGCTCACATACACACACACTCTCTCTCTCTTTCTCTTTCTCGTCACACACAACTATATATATATAGTTGACGCCCCTCGTCAAGGCCAATGAACCCAGCTGCCTCAGCTGTCTCTCCGTCACATTCCAGCCAGGCGCCCGCACCGCCTGGCACTCGCACCCAAAGGGCCAGCTGCTGATCGTCACCGCAGGCTCCGGTTACATCCAAGCCGAAGGCAAAGCCGTGGAGCGGATCAGCGCGGGAATGACGATCTGGACCCCGCCTGGCGTCAAGCATTGGCATGGCGCGGAACCGACTGCAATGATGACGCATACGGCTGTGCAGGAGGGCACGGATGGCGAGCCGGCGATTAGGTGGATGGAGAAGGTTACGGAGCAGGAGTATAGAGGAGGAGTATAGAGAGAGGGGCTTTTTTGGGCATTCTTGGAAAGGCGAGGGGGAAACTATACTTTCATAATTGCATGTAGAAATTAGCAAGGTACCATTGAGAACTGGCATAGTGGTCACCCTTGCAATGGCCATGTACACTGTGGTTGCTGGGCGGGCTGCCCTCTCTGTCAACCGCGCGCTAATCGCGCTCGCCTCTGTGCGAGATCAACGTAGGCTGGCGAAGCGAGTCCGACACTAGTCGCCTGCCCTCTGGAATTGCCGGGGAGTTTTGTTGGCGCGCTCACAATGTCAGGAAGCTGCCGGGTTGGGGGGGAAGACCTGTCGGGGGGGATTCGCCTATCAAGCGCACGGAGACATCCGAGTTGCGTTGAGTGTCACCGACAGACTGCGGCAACCAGCCAGCCACCCCTCTCCCCGCACTTACTCTCTCCAACCACAGCAGTCCGCCCCCGCACCCCCGTCATGTCTGCACCAGTCCGTGGCCTCGACAAAGACCTCGCCGCAAAGGCTGCCGCCAAGTACGACCCCGTCCGCGAGGCAGAGGCCCGCGCATGGATCGAACAAATCACCGGAGAGAAATTCGCGTCCGACGATTTTCAGGAGAGCCTGAAGGATGGCGTGCTGCTCTGCAAGTACGGAGTTGCGAGAGAGAGAGAGAGAGAGAGAGAGAGAGAAGAGAGAGACGAAGAGTCAGAGACAGAGAGAGACAAGGGGTTGAGGGCAAAAATCGGCTTCCCAGCTAAGATATCATTTGCTTTTTATACATATTCTTCTCCCCCCTCACCCCACCTGCTAGGCTCGTTAACGCCCTCCTGCCGTCGACACCACTCCGAATCAACTCTTCGAAAATGGCATTCAAACAAATGGAGAACATAAGCTCGTTCCTGACGGCTATCGCAACACACCTCGGCGTGCCCCCACATGACTCGTTCCAAACCGTAGACCTGTACGAAGCCAAAAACATGAACCAAGTCGTCGACTGTCTCTTCTCCATCTCGCGCCACGCGGCCGCAAAAGGCCTCTTGGATGACGCGCAGGTTCTCGGCCCCAAACTCGCGGAAAAACGCGAAATGGACTGGAGTGATGAGCAGTTGAATGCGGGCAGGAATGTGATTGGGTTGCAGATGGGCTTTGCGGGTGGTGCGAGTCAGGCGGGGATGGGCGTGGGTAGACGCCAGGTTGTGGATTCGGCGGTCGGGACGGGTGATACGTCGGCGGTCAGTCAGCAGATGGGGTTCACTGGTGGTGCGAATGCTAGTGGGGTTACCTATGGCGGGCGTCGTGAGATTGGTGCGCATGATCCTGGCAAGACCCCGGCGGAGTAAGGGAAAAAAAGGCGAACGGAGGCTGCCCTTCCAAATCCTTTCTTTCCGTCCTCCTCCCTTTGATGACTCTGAGCGGGATCCCGAGACATCTGAGACGGCGAGACGGGGGAGAGAAGTTTGCTAGATACATTTCATTGCGCTTAGAGATAAAAAGACTATCAGAACAAAACGATCTTTCATGCGCGCAACGTTATCGTCTCATTGGATAGGGGGGGCTAAGCTAGGGCGACTAGTGGTAAAATCAAAGATGCGCGTCCACGCTCTGTTTTCTTCTAGTTGTCGGCGTAGTCGCCTTTAAAGATATCGGTGCCCCAGAACTCCTTGGGGTCAACGAAACGCTTGCGAGTCTTGATCGCGTTAAGCTCGCGCATCTCGTCGTCCGTGAGCTTGACAATCTCCCTGTTGGAGCGAATGCGCTCCGCCTTGACCGATTTGGGCAGCACGACAGTCCCGCGCTGGACGGCCCACGAAACCAAGATCTGGCCCGCGTCTTTACCGTGGGCCTTGGCAATCTTGACGACCGTCTCGTCTTTGAGCGGCGAAGGTTCTTTGCCGGACCCAAGAGGCGAGTAAGCGGTAACGACAATGTTTTCTTTGCGGCAGTACTCGAGCAGTCTGGGTTGCGGGAGGAACACGTGCAGCTCGACCTGGTTCACGGCGGGACGGATACGCGTCTGCGGCAGGAGGTCCGCGAGCATGGCCTCGGTGAAGTTGGAAACACCAATGTGCTTGGCTTTGCCCGCGTCAACGAGTTTTTCCATCTCGCGCCAAGTGTCGATGATGGGCGTCGAGTCGAGCGCGACTTTGCCGTCGGCGCCCTTTGGCGTCAATTCGCTGCCTCCCGGCGCAAAGGCGACCGGCCAGTGGATAAGGTAGAGGTCGACATACTCCAGCGCGAGGTTCTTGAGCGTGTGGTCGAGCGCCTTGGCGACCTCGCTCTTGGCGTGCGATGTGTTCCACAGTTTGGAGGTGACAAAGATGTCTTTACGCGACTTGCCGCCCTTCTTGAGCGCGGTGGCGATCGCGGCGCCGACTTCGGCTTCGTTTTCGTAGCAGTGGGCGCAGTCGAGGTGGGTGTAGCCGGCGTCCAAGGCGGCTGCAACAGCGTCGCCGACCTGGCCGGGCTCGGCCTGCCAGGTGCCGAGGCCGACCTGGGGCATTTGGGCGCCGGTGTGGAGCTTGAGCGTGGGGTTTGAAGAGGAGGAGGAGGACATTGTTTTGGAAAGAGGAACGAAGAAAGGGCGCGGGTGGTGGTGGTGGTGGTGGTGGATGTGGTGGATGTGGTGGTTGATGCGAAGCGAAGCGATGCTGTTGTTGTGAGGGGAGAGGAGCCTGAACTTGAGCAAGTTGAGCTTTGACATTGCCTGTTCCGCCGCGCCCCCAAAAGCTGCGAGAGTTGTCAACTACGTAGCATGATGTACGCGCGCGCGTCCGTCCGCCCCCACTCGCCCGCCGCGTGTCGTTTTTCCTTTCATCCATCCCTCCATAATGAAACTCCTCTGCTTGCTTCCCACTCTCACTGTTTTGCTATGCTGCGCTGCATCCGCCGCCGCCGCCGCCGCCAAGAAGCAACCTTCAGCAAATGCCATATTCGGAGCTCCACTTGGCGAGGACGAAATCACAATCATCGTGCCCTCCACCTACAACATCCGCTACCCACTCCCGCCTACGCTCCGCAAAGGAATCCTAGACGGAATGTGTGTCATGCTTGTCGGCATCGCTGGCGGAGTTACTGCTGTTGACGGGCACGGTCATTGGGAGGCCAATGATGATAATGATGATGGCCCGGCGGTCGTGCGAGAAGCTGTAACGCTGCTCAGTGTGTCGCTGGAGTCTGACGAGGAGGTTTTGAAAGAGATTTACGAGATGGCGAAATGGCTTGCGGGCAGGTTGAGGCAGGAGGCTGTGTTGGTCAAGGTAAATGGGGTTGCGTATTTGGTCAGTTCGACAGAGACGACGGTTCTCAGTTTGGGCTAAAAAACCGGACAAGTAAAATAAAGGGAACAGTTGTGTATATATATGTACATATAGTTTGGGGGAGAAAACATTTTGCTGGGCCCATTCCTTTGATCAATCGCACCCGGCGGTTGTGGCTGACGGACGATTTTGTGGTTCGGACCGAGACGCTGGCTTGACTGGAGGAGGCGACCGACCGACCGCCCTAAACTGTCGATTTCCAGGGGAAAAAGGCTTGTCTCTCACCCGAAAACCGGGAAGATGGATGGGCAAAGAAGAAGGTCGCTTGTGTGTGTGTGTGTGTGTTGTGTGTGTGTGTTTGTGTTTGTGGGGGTGAAACAAACGAGGCGGCGAGAGAGAAGGAAGACGAGAGTGAGTCACACTGGCTGGTTGCTGAGTCAGCATGCTGTGACACTCCGCCGTCTTCCTTCGCTCTCTCCGCATTCTCGCCATTCTGCATCTCATTCCTACGGAACTGCTGCCCCGGGTCCCCGTCACTCCCGTTCATTCACAAACACTCGTTGCCCTGGCGCCCCGCCAACGCCCACGCACCCCGGCTTATACACCCCTGCCAGCTCGCTTTATTCCGTCGCCTGCCCCCCCGACCCACCCCCCGTCCACCCCCGTCTGCGTGCTCCCTGGCTGGCTCGGGTCCCTCGCCGCAGCAGCAATTCGCTACATCTCTTTCTCGCCCTGTCTCTCCTGTCTTCCCGTCTCCTTGTTTCCCTTCCCTTTCTCCGTCACTTCCTCTCTCTCGCTTCTTCCTCGCATTTTTCGTAAAGCTCGTCACCCGCCACGCTTTGGCGTGTGTGCGCTAGTTAGCGGCTGCTCGGAAATC